CTTAGACTAATAATAGCTAAGAGCGTTGTTATTATCTGGCCTTAGATTAAGAATAATTTAAGGGCACTGTCGGAATAATATCTGAATTGAATAAATTGTGTTGATATGAACTAAACATTATCAAAACTGTGAATGACTTAAATGAACATTGTGTGCATGATATCAAATGATTTGATTATGAATTTAGATTCAGTTTATATGGATGTTCGACGCATTAGATATGCTTACTCAGCTTTACCGCTGAGTGTGTAGTGTGTTTCATTTGCTACACGCAGGTAAACAGAAAGAACAGTGTGATCTTGGCGGCAGTTGGGGCGAGATTGTCGGGATGAATGTGACAAGTTTTGAAACAATTTATGATATGTCAATATTAAAATCGCTTCCGCAATATTGTTGAATACTCCGTACTGTATATGTTATTAAAAATATTATTGGGATTAATAAAGTGTGTTTGAAAAGTTTTAAATTTTTACGATTACCAAGTTAAATACTTTAGTCCGAATGTGGCTGCAGACCTAAACGGATTAGGGTGTTAAAAATACATTTTAACTCTTATTTCGAAAATAAAAACATTGAACTCATATTAACCATATTAATCTTGAAAAATATTCTACAATAATATTTTTTATATAATATAGAAAAAGTAAAAATTATCTAATTTAGCATATGTTCTTTTAGATTTGAAAAGAAGAGTTAGATGTTAAAAAAACTGAAATAAGTTACAAAAAAAGAGTTAGAAAAAACTAAAAAAAATTAGAAGAAAGTAAAAAGACTTATAAGTTTGAAAAAAATTGAAAGGAGTTGAAATGAATATTTTTTTATAAAATAAGTTATGCTAACATATTTTTTTTGAAAGGTGTTAAAATATTTGTTTATTTATTTTTAAAAATTGTCATATAAGGAGTTTTTTATTCTTGACATTGTTTTCAGATGAAAAGTCTATTAAACTTTTACGTAAATAATCAGATAATATACTCCGTACGAATATAGAAATTTTTGGGAAATTTGACATGGGTTATAATTTACAATATTTATTTAATAGTTTCTAAAGAATTTCATTCTTTATATATTATATAGAACTAAAATTAATATTTAAACTCTTATCATGAAAGTCATCTAAATAAAAATATGTACCATATTAATCGTGACAAACATTTTGCAATATTTGTTTATATGTAATACAGAAAAGTAAAATTTATCTTAATTAGCATCTGTGTGAATTGAAAAGAAGAGTTAGATGTTGAAAGTAATTGAAAAGAAGTTAGAGGAAACTAGAAAGAGTTAGAAGTTTAAAAATATTGAAAGGAGTTGAAATGAATATTTTATTAATTAAAATAAGTTATACCTCATGTTTTAAGTTTCATTTCCTTCTATTTTTTGTTATATCTCCTATAATTTTTGTCTTAGACCTTATTTAGTACAATAATATTTGTGCGACTCAGACTTATTATTTTTTTAATTTTTAATATCAACATAATTCATAGAATTTTTTATTTCTTAGTCTTTCAAAAAAATGCTGAGATGAAGTGAGAAATATTTTTTTATTAATGTTTTAGAGGCATAGTTCAATGTTTCATCGATCAAATTAAAATATTAAATTTTACTTTATACACTAAAATAATTACAACTTATGATATGACTCACGAAATGACTCAAGAACAAGCGATATTCATTTATAATCAGAATTGGTCAATGTGATACAAGTTAATTACTTTATTCTGATTAAGTAAAAGAATCATTTAATATGACAATAAAAACAATTAAACAATAATATTATTAAAAAGAAAAATAACTCAATCAAAAGTATGTAAAATGCAAAAACGAATAAAAACAGTGATCTTTGTGCATATTTGAGAGATCTTATATTATGAATCTTGATGAAAAGTGTTATTGGAATTGTATATTTATTTTTTAGTGTTATTGACTCGATTATAATGTAGTATATTTATATGTTCTTACTTTTTCTCAATCTAATGACAGACAAATAAATATGACTTCCGTCTCCACTAAGACGTGCAATTTGAATGAGTTTAACCATGAATTTTGGACAATGGATTTCCTACCATCCATGAATTTTGGTCGAGTAATCTGTTTTTTAGATTCGATCGGTATCAAAACTCGACTATAGAGCTTCAATGTCTATGGTTTCAGACGGGGTATAGTGGGGGAGGGAGGTTTCTTTGCTTTGTTCATGAAATCAGATGACTCGAGGAGTGAGTAAGAAAATATAAGGCAAATAAAATCATCTTCTCCTTTTTGAGTTGAAAATATTTATCCTCAAAAAAAGATTTTTTTACCACTTATATAATCAAACGTAGGAAATTAAATTAAAATTTTATTAAAATATGTTTTGTTCTTTCAACCAAACAAATCTTATGAGTTACATTTTTTTGAAAAAAACAATACATAACAAAAAGAAATATCGTTCAATCTCGTGCGTGGCACGAGTTAAAACGCTAGTTCAATTAAAAAAAAGGAGATAAAGTATCAGTCCTTATTTCCATAAAGGCGTCCCACTTTCTTAATCAGTTGCCGACACCTCTGTCTATCTTCTTGAGCTTCGTTCGATTGCAATGCACGGGCACAAGTCTAGTGCTAGTAATTCTATAAAAATAAGATTTTAATTATATTTCTTTGCTTGCTGCTCATTTTTAATGTACAAATTTATATTTTCATACAAAACTTTAATGATGTCGCATAACTATCTTACTTTTTTCAAAATTTTCTGCATATCTAGTTTTTTTATTTGTAATATTATCAATCGGTCATAAAAATTACTTAAAATTTCAAAAAATAAATGAAAGACATAACTCATTGGATCAACCCGAACCCGATGACATTGGATCATGAACATGTAGCTCTCAACCTGAACCCGAACTTACAGGAACCCGAAGTAACCTGAATTCAAGGTGATCGAACCCCAACCCGACCCGACCGACCATTTTGCCAGCTCTACTAAAGGATTAGCCTATTGTAACTTTTTTAGGTTTAACATTCTTACCCTCGTTTCGATAATTTTTTAGGAGGGAAAAAAATAAGGGTGGAAAATTTAGGAGGAGAGAATAAATTTATTTTTTCTCTTGTTGTTTGGATATTTTAGGATGGAAGGAAAGTAAACCTATTTTACCTTTTAATTAATAAAGTGAATGTAAAATATTTATTACTCAAACTTTTCTCCCATTTGAGGAGAAAAGTAATGAGAGAAAATAAATAAATATTTTCCATCCTCCCTTATTTTCTTTCACCTTCCACAACACATTATATCCATTCAGGCACTCACCATTTTATTGAAATATTTGTACTAAATAGCACTAAAACTTAAGTCATTTCTCTAAATAGTACTTAAATTGTTTTATTTCCTAAATAGCATTTAATAATGTCCATAATGTCCTGTGATGACAAATATTTACTTGAATAATGATTAATGCATAATGACTAAAAGTGCTACATTGGGAAGAAAAACATATGTAGTGCTAGTTAGAGAAAGTCATTATGTTTTAGTGCTATTTAGGTAAATTTCTCCATTTTATTTTCTATTTTTATTTTCTTTCTTTCAAACAAAGTTAGAGAAAGTCATTATGTTTTATTGTGTTATGCGGTTAATAAATTTTTCATTTATAAAACTTATAATTAAAAAAATCACGTAGTATTATTTAGAGTAAATTATGGGCTTTTATAATATGAAGTTTTTCATATTTAGTCTTCTATTATCAAATATTAAACTTGTGCTTCTTTTTTTTGGTACCTTTCCCCAAATAGGTTTTTTATCCTTTTGTCATGCTGATGTTAATTTAAAGGCAAAAAGTGTAATTTGACATCAACCTTATGTCTAGTGACATTAACTAATGTCGGTTAGATATCAACTGTGATTCAAAAACGACGCATCAAGAACGGCATTTGGATTGTGTATGATAAAAAACATATATGATCATTGTATAAATACACTTTTAACCCGCAAATTAATACCAATAGGACGTAAGATCAAAAAAGAACTATTTGTAGAAAGGCGTCTATAAAAGAGAAATTACGAGCGTAATATTTAATAATAAAAGATTGAAAATGGAAAAACCCTGCTATAAAAAACTAAGAGTAAATTTCATAATTGGTCTTTTATAACAGAAGAGTTTTTATATTTAGTTGTCTATTATCAAATATTACCACTGTAGCCCTTTTACGGGTACTTTTCCGCAAATGATCCTTTTTTATCTTTTGTCGTGTTGGTGTTAATTTAAAGGTTAAAAGTATAATTTGACGTCAATCCTAATACCCTATATCCAATGACATATTCTGAGATTTGTTAGATGGATAACAAAAAAATAATGACTATGGTTGTGGGCTAGGATTCCAACGAAAGACCACATTTGTATAATATGGTGTTAGTACAAAGCGATTGTAATTTACAAACGACGCATCGAGAACGACTTTTGGAATTGTGTATGACAAGAAAGATATATTATCTTTGTAAAATTACACTTTAGCCCTCAAATTAACACCTTCAGGATAGAAAATCAAGAAAAGACTATTTGTAGAAAGATACATGTAAAAAAAGAACTACTAAAATAATATTTAGTAAAAATAAGAATATCCTAATACTCCCTTCGTCCCAAATTATTTGTCACATTTCTATTATCGAGGCAAAATATCAAGTTTTTTCAATTCATTTTATTTACATATTGGTAAAGAAATAAAAAATAAAAATTATATATCAAAAAACTACATGAAAAGTTATTCAAAATGAGAGGTGTCAAGAATATTTTATTTTATCAAATAACCAGTGAAAACGTAGAAATAAACAAAAGTTTCTGCGACTGTTGAAAAAGCATATGTGACAAATAATTTGGGACAAAGAAAGTATTATAAAAGACTTGTTATAAAATTTTACTCAAAAACTATTTAAAGAATCCATAATTAGTAAGATTTCCAACACATGATTTCTTTTTCTCAATATTTCGCTCCATAAAAGGTTTCAGTTCCACCTGCAGGCTGCGTCATTCACCGCAAACGCCGCTCGCCATTGTCACACGCTCAGACAGTCAGAAAAGATCTCTCTTTCTTCAAAAATGTCCGACAGTTGAAACTGTATCTCAGTATTCTTTACTGTCAGAAATTCGCAATTTCGTCATCTTTGCCAAGAGAAGGAAAGAAACAGTAAATGGCTTCTGTTTCCCCACATCCAGACCTTGATTCCCAGCCTGGCCCATCTACGCTCGCCGGCAGCTGCCCCGGCTCCTCCGGCGAGATTCTTCCCAAGATCCAGCTGAAACTCGAACCGTTCGACGATTTCGCGCAAGCAGAACTCCAATCCCCTGCGTCTTTCCCAAACCCTAGTCCCACACCCAATTCATGGTCGAATTCGAATCCGGGTTTCTGTCTCTCCCCTAGTCCCAGACCGGATGGTAATAGCACCGGGCCAAATGTACATAGCGAGGGAGGTGCATGCCCGGAGTACTCTAAAGTTTCTGAGATGTTTCGCACCGCATTAGCAAAGAAGATGGGGAAATACGGAGACGTGGAGGTTGTGGATGACCCAGATTCGCGAGCAATTGTTGCTGTTAATGAAGACGGGCAGCTTTCGGATACGGTCATTGAACGGAGGAGGTATCAGCAGCGTTCTTCTGAGCTGGTAAGGATCACGGATCTTAATCAAGAAGATGAGAGGTATTTCCGGGGTGTTGTTCGCCGAACTAGAATGTTATATGATTCAATACGTACACTTGCGCTATTGGAGGACGCGAAGAACCAGATATATGGGCCTTGCAGGAAGAGTAGAGGGGACTTGAAGGCTGCACAGGTATTGAGGGAGAGGGGACTCTGGCTGAATCGCGATAAGCGCATAGTGGGTTCCATCCCTGGGGTGTACATTGGAGACGTGTTCTTCTTCCGAATGGAGTTGTGCGTGGTTGGATTACATGGTCAGGTCCAAGCAGGAATTGACTATCTTCCTGCAATACATAGCTCAAATGGGGAGCCAATTGCCACTAGTGTTATTGTCTCTGGGGGATACGAGGATGATATGGATTCAGGGGATGTGATAATCTATACTGGGCAAGGGGGGCAGGACAAGAACTCGCGCCAATGTGTTAGCCAGAAGCTTGGAGCTGGGAACTTGGCATTGGAAAGGAGCATGTATTATGGGATTGAGGTAAGGGTAATCCGCGGCTTCAAATACGAGGGCACTGCTAGTGGGAAAGTTTATGTTTATGATGGGTTATATCGAATTGTTGACTTTTGGGATGAAGTGGGCAAGTCTGGGTTCGGAGTGCTCAAGTATAAACTGGTAAGGATTGAGGGTCAACCCGAAATGGGAAGTACCATTTTGAGATTCGCGGAGACCCTTAGGGCCCAACCACTGGTTGCAAGGCCAAGAGGGTATCTCAGTCTTGATATCTCAGGGAAGAAAGAGAATGTTCCGGTTCTTTTATACAATGACATAGATGCAGATCAAGACCCTATTTATTATGATTACCTGTTGAAGACTGTATTCCCACCACATGTATTCCACCATGTTGGGTCCCACACAGGGTGTGATTGTGTCAATGGGTGTTTCGGCAATTGCGTATGTTCAATGAGAAATGGTGGCGACTTTGCATATGACAACAATGGCATCTTGTTGAGGGGGAAACCGCTGATATTCGAATGCGGGCCGTATTGTCATTGTCCAGTGTCTTGTCGGAACAGGGTGAGTCAAAAAGGTGTGAAGAACAGATTTGAAGTGTTCCGTTCAACAGAGACTGGATGGGGAGTTAGGTCGCTGGACCTGATCCAAGCCGGTTCTTTTATTTGTGAATACGCAGGCATTGTGCTCACAAAGGAGCAAGAAGAGATCTTCAAAATGAGTGGTGATAGCTTGATATATCCTCGGCGTTTTTCAGAGAGATGGGCAGAATGGGGAGATCTCTCTCAAGTGTATCCCGACTATGTGTGCCCATCATATCCTTCAATTCCACCTATAGATTTTGCAATGGATGTATCTAAAATGAGGAATCTAGCATGTTACATGAGCCATAGTTCCAGTCCTAATGTTTTTGTGCAACCAGTGCTCCATGATCATAATTACGTCTGCTTTCCTCGCCTTATGCTCTTTGCAATGGAGAACATTCCTCCCTTACAGGAACTTAGCATTGACTATGGTGTTTCTGATGACTTGGAAAAGCTTGCCATCTGCAACTGAGGTATGCGAGAGTAGGTGCAGTTTTGAATGTGATTGGACTGGCTTTATTTGCTCGTGATTACTAAGGTAAGGAAATGTTCCATATCAGTTAAGCTTTTCAACTTTGTTCCTTCGTTTTTAGTTTTTTTGCAACGGCCAAAAGGAGGTTTTTGTGCCATTTCCAAAGGAGGTTTAATATGCCATCTTCAAAAGAAGTTTCTCTATTTACCCGAATCTAAAACATTGTAAAAAATGACTCTTTTATCTCCATTGGCGATGAACATACTTGCATAGGTTGTGTGAAATGACACTTTGGAGGAGAACTTAAGAAAAGATAGGTACCGTCTCAAAACTTGTAGCTCTGGTGTGTTCTATACGTGTATCCTATTAACCTTTCGGCTGATTTATTTCTTGTTTTATAGTTTACTTTTCACTCCGTAATAACCTGTTCGTTGTGTAAATACAAAATTTAAATGATCTTTTCTCCCATTCAATTGGCTTCAGTAATATTTCATGAAATCTTTACCAAGAAGATAAAGGAATCTTACAAAAACACGAGACTATGTTTTGGTGATTGATTATCAGCTTCTGCGTTGGAAAAATGCAGTTTGGTAATGCTTGGCAGTGCTTGTAGATATACTATGTTTGTTTCGTATTGTTTGTTTATTGACAATCATGCTAAGTGCCATTATCATTCTTTGTTGTCTATAATCTTCTTTATTATTGCATTTTCGCTTCCATAAATACAAGTATGAAAGCATCTTTGTTGCACTTGTTTGTTTTGAAGAAATTCGAAGTATATACCCATGTTCTCTTTCAACTGTCTCATTGACATTTTTAGTACATTGAACATTAAATGAATGCTGACATAATCTTTATCTATATTCATTAATTTATATATGCATAAAAAAAGGTCAAACAAATGCTTAAAAGAGAACAGAGGAAATATGTAGTGATTTGTGTGCTTGGGACATGAGGGTGTTGCAACATGTCAAAAAAAAGAAGGAACTATGTGATCAATGATACTCCCTCCATTCCAAAAAAGACTCCTTATTTTCTTTTTGAGACGTCCAAAAAAAGACTCCTTATTTTCCTTTTGGGACATCCCAAAAAGACTCCTTATTTTCTTTTGGGACGTCCCAAAAAAAGACTCTTTCCCATTTTAGAAAACTTTAAGTGGCTCACAATCTTTCTCTTTCCTCTGCATCACTTTCAACTACACATTTTTACTTTCTTTAAACTTTGTGTCAAGTCAAACTGTGAGCCTTTTTTGGGGATGGTGGGAGTGTTAAATATGTTAACTATGGATTATTTTGAATCTCACAAATATGAAAAAAAATGAGGTGAGACAGAGTGAAAACAGAAAGGACAATAAGTACAAAATGTACTTTTATTAAAATAAAAAGTAAAAAATAAAATAGGTAAATGGAAATGATATTTAAAAGTGTCATCTATTTCCATTTCAACAATTTGAACCCAAAACAAATTCTTCACTACAGTGCACTTTTTAAAATCATCATTACTCCCCATTATGATTCAAAAAATGCTGCAGTCAAATAAACAAGTTGATGGAGCTATATGCATAAATAGTCCATGTAGTCTTTCTTAGGTGTGTAAATAGTCCTCAAACTTTTAAAAGTTGCAAAATAGTCCCCGTGGTCAAAGATTCATTGCATAATCAGTCCCTCTTTTAGAGAAATCATGAAATGTGCACAACAGGCGCGTATTACTTATCCATTTTTCATTATTATGATGATGAAATTTGCCATTATTAACTTGGAATTGTATAACTCTCTTTTCTAATTTTTACAGTATATGTCTTGCCCTAATGGATGCTGAGAAAGTAAGTATATCATGCCATCTGAGACTGAGGCTGTAACTCCCTGCTGCTTGTCAAGACACCACTGAAGACTGAAGGTTTGGCCTCTGTTTCCCATTAAATTAAGAAATGTGCTGGGCAATGGGTATGATTTTGCCAGCAGCCCCCTATTAAATTGGAAAATGCTAAAGTGACCCCAACTCTCACCACATCTTCCACCCCAAACTTCTTACAGACATCAATGGGTGTCTTGGGATGTCTGTGAGAAGCTTCTAGCATGGTCCATGTCAGATTAGTGTCACTCCTTCCCTCTCTGAAGTCCCAACTTTTTTGGGTGGTTTCATATTATTGGTTCTCTTCTCTCTTTTCTTTTTTCTTTTTGTGGAAAAAAGCACATTCAAAAAATTACCCACCTTTTCTTTACCCATGTTTTCTTCCTTTTACCTCACTTTTTACATTTTCACTCCACCTTTTCTTTTCCCACCTCACCTTCAAAAGTTTACCCACCACACCTTCACCTTCTCTTCATCCCCAGGGTCCCCAGGACCGAAAAGTTACCTGGGAGGAGGGAGTAATTTGAGCTGAAGTATCAAAGTATATTGAGAAACTGGGGCAGTACTTTTTCTGCAAGTTCACTCAAATTACCTGATTTATTTCCTTACCCTATATACATATCCTTATCATTACTCAATCAGGAGTACATTATATTATGTACAGTTTGTATCAATTCTATCAACTCATTTTTTTTATTGTGTCCACTTGTAAGTTTGCAGGGAAAGAACCTTTCTTTCTCAAGTTTCTTTTGTACACATTGAAACTGGAGTATGCAATTGGTATACTATAAAGTTCTTGATGTTTGTTGCATATATTTGAATTTTCTTCATTGCATCCTCCTTTGTCCTATATATATGAGGCATCAAAAGTTTTGGGGGTTCATATGGTGAATATTTTCTCTATTCCTAAGTAACTGTCTATTGTAATTTCTTAGGTAAATTAATTTTGAATGAACATAGACAAACATTATGCATAGATTTATTTGGTTCTTTTTTATCTTATTCTTAATGTATGTAGAAAGTCATACTAAGCAGTCCATTGGTAATATTTTTGAACTCATAACGGGTCAAAAAATTAGACCATTTGCTTCATTAACCTGTCAAAACCCAGTTTACTACACTAATTTTGTTCATGTTTTACTCGTTTAACTTATGAACGAAAATCACCTTTTCAAAATGAAATTTAAACACCCTCTTTGTCTCAATTTAAATTGTTTGTTTACAATTTACATGATCAAACTTTTAATCACGTTTTTGACCCATTTACGCAACCCATGTTTGTTTACTATTTACATGCGACTCTTTTTGGGACGCAAGGAGTACAAATCAAATCTCATTAAATACGGAGCACCTTGAAGAAAAACTTTGTTTTGGACAAACAATAAAAAGAAATGTAAAACATTTTTCGAGGCGGGGAGACTATTGGGAAACTATAAAAAAGAAATCTCATTTTCGAAGCAGGCTGAATATGCTAAATTTAGTTAAACTGCCAATTATATTTGGAAATATAGATAGAGCCCGGTTTCATGGCCACTGGATTCCAGTGGCCACCGAAGTCACTGTCCCCCTACGAAACTCCGTTCATAAAATTGATGATTCCTACCCCCGGTAAACCCCCGCCAAGTCCCGACCCAAACTAATCACCCCATCTACGTCAATTGCACCTCGTAAGTATAAAGTCAAAACTTTTGACTTTAAAGTCAATTATACTTACGAAGTGCAATTGACGTAGGTGGGGTGATTAGTTTGGGTCAGGACTTGGCGGGGGGTTTACCGGGGGATTAGAGGGGTAGGAATCATCAATTTTATGAACGTAGCTCTGTAGGGGGGCAGTGGCTTCCGTGGCCACTGGAATCCAATGGCCATGGAACCGGGCTCAAATAGATATAGTTGATAATATATTAAATTTAGAGTTTCATAAATAACTTTGTAAAACATGACTCTTTTGATAAACGATGATCCAGGTTCCACTGTAATAACAAACCAAAACTCTCTTAAAAAAACAAAACCATTACTCCCTCCGTTCGAAAATGATCTTCCCATTTGACTTTTTACGGTCTCTAAGATTGCACTTTGACCACTAATATTTTTATTTATACATGAATATATTTTATAAAAAATTGATATTTGAAAACTATATTTCAAGATGAATATATTCATATTAAAGTTATATCGTAATATAATGTATTTTTTCCACATATCATAGTCAAAGTTTACAAACTTTAACCAAGAATAGTCAAATGTGAAGAATATTTCTGGACGGAGGGAGTATAACTTACAACTATAGTAATCATGTTAAAAGCTGGAATTTGAAAAATAAAAATCACCCCAAATCAGTCTTAAAACTACACTTCTTAATTTTTCATTAGGTTCCGTTTGGTATGTGGAATTCAAATTATGAAAATGGAATTGGGGACAACAATTTCAAGTATGTTGTTTGGTAGCACAAAAATATGTGAATTTGGAATTGGTAGTGCCAAAAATAAATTTAGAATAGGAGAATTCAATTCTATCCAAATCAATTCCATAGAATTTTAATTTTCAATTCAATTTCAATTCTGTAAATACTGTGTACCAAACGTACCTTAATAGAAATTGGGGAAGCCAAAATCAAATAAAGGGAGTGACAATGTGACATACACTCCCATATGGAGCAGTTTCTGTGTATTTCACATGAAGTTTATATAATTTCAATAACTACAACAAACTTGATAAGATCTCGGGAGGGTGCGTACACGTAGACCTTACTACCCCTATAGTACGAGGTTAGTTCCAAGAGACTGTCAGCTCATATACAAAAGTACAAAAAAAATCAGTACCGGATCCGGGCAAGACGGGTGAAAATGATAACGCACCACTTCTCTCATCCATCACAGCCCGTCAGATGCTCGTTCCATTCTTACCAAGTTCCCGCTTCCGGGCCCGTTCCATTTTCCGCTTGCGCCATTCTTCAAGAGCTGAATGCTCCAACAATAAATAAATAAATAAGTAAATAACTAAATAAACTCCACCGATCGATAGCAATTGTAAGTCTCCAGTTTTTGGGAAATAATATACTCCGTATGTAAACGTCGAATTTCTCGTTCCGTCCGTCCAAGAGAACAGAGATTCGTATCAGTGACGGTCCATTTCAAACAACAAAAAGTCACAAACAGAAGAGCAAAAGATTTTAGGAAATTCAAACTAAACTCATTCAGTTGTTGCCAAATGCGCACTTAAAATGCGAGATGGAGCAAACAAAAGTACCAGTTGGAAGACAAGAACTGCAACTCTATAAAGCTGTACGGGAGTAAATGTTTGGAACAAACAAAATGCTAGGGAAAGGGTTTTGGGGAGGAGGGGAGGGGGACGTTATAGAAACTTAATTTTTATGGTTAGCTTAGAGGGTGTTTGGGAATGATTTTAAAAATGATTCTCAATTATTGTTTTGGACAGAAAAAATTTGAAATCTTTGAGAGGAGGTTTGCCGTTGTGTTTGAAAACTGCTTTTGACCTACTGCTTCGCTAAAATACAATTTAACGTGTTTGGCAATCTACTTCTTATAGATTATGACTTCCGAAGTCTGAAATGGCCTCCAGCAGTTCCTTTATGTAAAGCTGAGACTATCTACCTTTTGCTTTTGATTTTTCACGAACCTACCACAACTAAGAAGCACCTCTGAAATGTTTTTAGATTCTGATATCAAAATAATCACTTTTCGAAATGAATAAGCACACCAAAACATCTTCTAATTAATCCCGGGAACTGTGAAGGAAAACAAATGGCGATATGCATATTACCTTTTATGCCATTAGCATCAGAATAAGAGCGAAAGTTGTTTATCCTAGAGATCAGATTTACTGCAGCACCCTGCTTTCCGTCCTTACGTTCAACTGCTTCTGATTCAATGTATGCTTCTTCCTCAATTTCCTTCACCTGGGAAGCAAGCAAATATTTCCAGTTCCAAATGCCTCTTAGTTAAGGAGCAAGAATTGCCAACAATCAATGGGTGTGTTTGGTTTGCATTTCCGATGTGATTTTGCTTATTTTAGAATCACAATCACATATTTTGTCTGAGGAGGTGATTGGACAAAACATAGGAATTCAAGATCTTACTGACGATATGGCCTTAGTTAGAAATACCGAGTGATCTAGGATTAGAGTAGTTGGGTACACCATTGGGCCTTACTCTGTAGGTTTATGTTGGGGCTTTTTGCCTTAGTCTAGAGCTTGTGTCTGTGCTTTTACTTTGTTCTTGCTACTGTGTTACTTACTTTATTTGTGTTTCTGTGTTTGAGCTGAGGGTATGTTGGAAACAATCTCTCTACTTTTGAGTAGGGATACGTCTTGTATACGCTTACCCTCTCCGGATCCTACTTTGTGTGAGATTTTACCGGGTTTGTGGTGGTGGTTGTACACAGAGTTTTTGGTAGCTGACCCCATGCTTGGAATAGAAGAACATGCTTATAGTGATTTTCATAATCACATCATTCTTAACTCAAAGTTACCTCTTTTTTTGGAAATGCAAACCAAAGCCATACAATATTTCTTCGTCCATATACATTTAGTTCCTTTAATACAGGTGAATATGACTATGAAACCAACACTTGTACTCACTCTTTTTATTAGATCCACGGGCAACATTGCACGCCGAATCTCTAGAGATTCCTTCACGTACCTTTCAACTGTGCTTCTAAGTGTGCAAATATGTTAGCTGAGCTTAGAGTTGCCCAAATTCAACATCAAGTGAATAATATCTTGGTTTTATAAGAAAACAAGTTCATAGAATCTGAATATTCTAGCACATACATAGAGCGCTTATTTCCCTCTCAGAAAAAAAAAACCTCTCCACCCCCTTAGGATAGAGGTAAGGTACTAGGGTCTGCATACATCCCCCCCCCCCACATACACCCTACGCTTGAGTGGGATATACTAGGTTTGTATATCAAGTGATTGTATAGCTCATCTCCTCCGCTAAACCCCTAATATTACTTCCGCAAACTCTCATACACCAAACACAATCCATCAAACTCACACCTCGTTTGGGAACAAGGCTTTCAATTAGCGTGAATTTGACTTATTTTTTAATGATGCAAATTAACTTCGAGAACGCTAAAGTTAAACATTGTCAAAACACAATCTTTCCAAAATGCTGAAGTTGTTTCCGAATGGGCACTCAATACCCACACCGGGGGGGAAGATGTACCCAGAGTACCAGATTTTAACTCTACCCAAGGAGTAGAAAGGCTATTTATCAAAGCAATAACAAACCCTAAAATACCCTCAAATACCAAATCCAATAAATTTCTGGAGGCAACAACATAATCTTCTTTAGTAATAATTGATGAAGGAATCCTGCAAATTTGTTCAGTTGGAAAAGATGCACACAGAGAAGGCTTCAATTCAAGAACCAGCTAAATAAGTAGACAAACATCATATTTTCAACCAAAAATTGCCAAGTAAAACTCAGAAAACAATGGCAAGAAAGAAAGAAAGGAAAGACTGAATTCTTGGAATCAAAGCAGCAAAAGTGAAGAGAAAAAAGAAGGGATTAGTGAACCTGGTGTGGATCTGGTGGAAGGGGAAGAAGAAAAGAGGAAGCTTTGAAGGAAGAAGAGGGCGGCGATGAGGTTGAAGGAAGAGACCAAAATGGTTGCGTTCCTGTACGACCACCTTAACTTCCACCACTGTTGCTGCTGGGCTTTTTCCATTTCCACGCCCTGGATCTACCAACAAAGAAGAACGATTCAGTGCGAAACCGAAGAAACCAAATTGTAATTAGACATGGCAAAAAAACCCTTTCTTTTGCTGCTTAAGGGTCTTTTTGGGAATAGTATTAGAAAATAACGTTAGCATTAGCGTTAACAGATTAGTTTCAAAACGCTAATACTAAACGCTGTTCGTAGATAGTCCTTTCAAAACGCTAACGCTACTCCCAAACAGGCCCTAAGTATTAGATTTTTGAAGTTCTTATTAGATTGCAGTGCGAAATCGAAGAACCCAAAAATTGTAACCAAAGTTGTATACATTAACATTTTTATGATTTACAGTGATACAAAATGTTGGTGTGTTGATAAAAATTTATATTGACATTTTGTGTTTGTGTGAACTATCATTCTAGCACTACACTCACACAAAATGAAGGTTCAAACCTTCATTTTGGAGGGTTTGGAGTTGATGAAATACTAAAATGTGAAGTGGGTATCATAAAATGGATTGAAATTTGTGTAGTCACAATGAAAAAATGTGAAGTGGGTATCATAAGGTCATGTTTTATAGTGAACTTGATGGGGATTGATAGAGTGTAAAGATATATGGTGTGAAGTGATGAAAAATGTGTTTTATGATAAGTGTGATGGAAAGTAATGAAATATGAATATGTGTTAAATTTTGATTAATTAAAATATTAAAAAAAATAAAGGGGGAGAGAAGCAGGCAATGCCCGTGATGTGGTAATTGGAAGAGGGGCAACACCCCTCCCATTGAAGCCCAGCGCCGTGCAACATCATGAAGGAGACGCTATAAGGTGTTTCCCCGGCCGTTACCAACCCCTTCACGCCCCACTTCCCACACCACACCATGAGTGAAGGGGCGTTGTCCCAATCTAAGTGGTAGTCATCACCGAGTGATGGTCTTCTCTTTTTTTTTAAATATTGCAACCAATCAAAATATATTTAACACATATTTACATTTTATCATTTTCTTTCATACCAACCATAATATACATATTTTTATCACTCCACATAATTATTTTACACACTATCACACCCCGTCAAGCCCTTCTATAACATATGGTCTAATAGTGATGATGGTGTTGATGAATACAATGACAATAATGTTAGAACTAAACATGAAAATGAATAGGATTTTTAAGAAAGTGATAATGAGGATAACAATCTTTCATTTTTTCTAATGTGAATTAGATAATGAATTTTGAGGGAGTTGCACATGAATTATCATGATTCAAAAGACATAAAGAAGAAGATCATATTGTTGGCCATGTGTGCAGCAATTGTCTTGTGGTGGAGGCTATGTGAGCCAAGTCACAATCGAATGTCGTGGGCGCTTGTGTGCTGAATGCACTATAAGGCTAGGGTATGCACATCTTCTAACATTAATTGGTTTTAGAAGAGTTGGTAGCGTTTGAGGTCCTACACATATTATACAACAAGTACTATAAAGTGATCATGACAATTAACTTTTATGGTGGAGGAATGAAGAAGGTGAAGCTTTATGTGTTCAACCCTAAATGAAACATGAAAAATTCTTAATGTTATATTAGACTTTTCTAACAAAGACATATTTAAGGAGGCAGTTAAATTTCACATACTCACATATAATAATTCAGTGTCTTTTCTTCTGAAAGTGTATTAAATCACTATGCATTGGTATGTTCTTTGACCAACATATAGGCACTATACTTTGAAGAGGCAACATTTCACCAATCCACGATTTACGAAAGCATCACATAAATTATAAATTAGTAATACAATGATACACCCTATGACACTACACTTAAGGAATATCAACAACTTTTCTACTCCCTCCGTACGGGATATTTCTTTTTTCATCTGTCCCAAAAAATAATTCTTATTTCTATTAAAAAAATCACTTTTATCATTTCCTTTTCATAGGGGTGAGAGCGATCCGTGATGGTCCGTAATACTACCGGAACTTATCAAAAACCGCTATTATTTAAACTGTTCGGTATCGGTACAGGATGAACTCCAAAACCATTTGCTACCATTCCGTTTTGAAACAAAACAGTACAATAGCATACTCATGCTCAAACCGTGCCAAAAAAATGAACGTACATTACTTAAAGAATATTGAATTTAATGTATAAATTTGTATAAAAAAGCACGGGAATGTTAAATAAAAGTATTGACTTCAAATTTAAACGAATCATAAACATAAAGAATAAAAGATATAGAGTCCAAAGTTAAAAAAAATATTTTTTTTCCAATTCATATAATATCGGAATACTAATAACTACTCCCTCCGTCCCAAATTATAATGCTTGTTCATTATTCACATGGTCAAACTTCATTCACTTTCTTCCTCTATTTTCGTTACCAATTTGATAAAATAAAGTACTATTGTCACTACTAGTTTTGTAGATCTTTTGATATAGTATTTTAATATGTAATTTTTATTTTTTTTAACTATATACCATTTGTCATATAAAATGATTTGAAAATAATTTCAGTCAAACATCGTAAACCGAAACAGGCGTTATAAAATGGACGGAGGGAGTATAAAAAAATAATGCCAATAGTAATGATAAATATAATAACAACAATAATAATAAGAGAGTTTAAAAGTGAATAATAATAAAATACGAAGTACTCTATACGCGCGGTAAGATGAAGTAGACAAATACTCCGTACTTCATAATTATTTGAGATACGTACTCCGTATATAGTGTTGGATGGTTCGGCCCGTGATAATCGGTTTTAAATATTTGTATCACGGTCTCGTTCCATTTGATATCGGTTCGGTTCCGGTTCGTGATGAAAAAAATCAATCTCGTTTGAAAACACAATAAACGGTTGGGTACCATTACAGTCCAGTATGATATCATGTTAGTTCGGATTTTTTGCCCACCCTTACTTTTTCATACCCTACCTATCACATTATACCTTTTTACTAATAACTTATCCATCAAATATACTTTTACTCATCACATCAAAAAATATTTTTAGAAATTCAATACCAAAATACGCTCTTCGATCATAAATCTCTTCAAAATCAAAATCTCTCATGTTTTTAGGACCGAATTAAATTTCCAAACTCTTTTTAAAGAGGTAAATGATTGCTCACACAACTACAAAAAAGAGGCATAAAATATAGAAACTCTCGGATAGTATCATTTTCAATTCAAATTTAGGAGTTAAAAATGAGGCAAAAAAACTAAAAAAAGTTTGAAGAAGCTGTAATAGATTCAGGTGTAAAAAAAGTGAAATCTAAAGAATATACGAAGTATAGAGTAATATTTATTTTAATTCTGATTATTTTAAATGGAAAACACAACTAATCAACCTAAGTGTCTATATTAACTCCTCAATTACGTGTAAATTAAAAAACGAGCTTATTAGGGCAGCGTGTGATTGAGCAGAGGAGTAATTATTTACATGGAGTAATATCATAAAATCGTGAGTTTTTGGAAATATTTACATGAATTTTTCCTATATTTATCGATCATTTAAATAAAAACTCAAGTTTTTTAGACTCGAAAATTAAGTAACCAAATTTCGAGTTTAAAGTTATTGAGTTGAACTTTTATTTAGAAGAATACTAAGCTGAAATTAAGATGAAAAAAAAACATGTTCTTAAAATATATTAACCCTATGTTTGGTTCAAGGAATTTGAAAGAGAAAAGAAAATGTAGTGAAAAACAGTTTTTCATGTTTAATTGAAAAGGAAAAGTGGAAGAAAAAGAAAAATGAGAAAACAAATGTACAAAGTGAAGGAAAAATCAAATTCCTCCCATTTTGGTGAGAAAAATGAGAGAAAATCATTTTCTTTTCTTTTTCTTCCAAAGTCCTTGAATCAAACTTAGTGTAAGAGAACTTGTTATGGGTAGATTAATATGAAAAAGCATGTTCCTAAAATACATTAAAGGTCCGTTTGATATATAGAATTGATGAATTGTAATTGAAATTCCATGAGATTCAATTCTATAGAATAGAATCCATCATTTTCAATTCATTTTTTGCACTATCATTTCTAAATTCACATAATTTTTGTGCTACCAAACACCAGAATTGAAATTGAAGTCCTCAATTTCAATTCCATTGTTTGAATTCTATGTACCAAACAGAACTTAAGAGAATAATGTCTAGAATAAGTTAAAATAGTACTTCTTCATTCACTTTTTTCTTAAAAAAATAATGTGTAGAATAAATTACAAAGACACTACTTCTCCTTCATTAACTTTTTCTTGTTCGTTTTTTGAATAATAATAATACTCTATAGTCACGAAGTTTCAAACCCTAAATTATAGACTATAGTTTTTCTTTTTTTACAATAAAATAAAGAATATTATGGAGAATAGTTAAAATTAAATACCCCGGAGTATATAAAAAAGCATGTCAATAAAGCACATCAATAATGTGTAGAAATTTAGTTAAAAAAATGTCGAAAAAGTTTACCCGGAGTAGATGTATTATTTCTCCCCAATACCAAACACGTTTATAATTAAGATTTATTAAGCCTAGATCACACAAAAAATCCATACAAAATATTAAAGTTTTATGGATTAAATATATTTTTAGTCTCTGTAAAATAGATAAATTTTTATTTTAGTTTCTGTAAAATATTTATTGTTAAAGTCATATTTACAAAATATTTTATTTTGAAAAAAGTTCTTAAATATAATTAGCACATCTAACTAGATTAGATAAAATATTTATTTTATACTCAACATCTTAGTTTTGTAATTCTAAGAGTAATCCCAAAATGGCACTCAATAACTATGTGTTTTTTCAAATTAGTTTCTAAAATTAACTTATTTCTTATATGGTACTCGTTAATTGGAAATAATGTTCAGTTCAGTCTTTCGGACTAACGGTCATTAAAATGACGTTACAATGACGTTAAACCTTATACTACTTTTCCAAAATGATACTCTCAAATTGCGTGTTTTCTCAAATTGGTCCATTTTCGAAATAAAAATATATTAGTTATGAAAAAATATTTTAAATTTTACAGGATGAAAATATAATACTAAAAACTATAAATATAATTTTATAATTTTGAAAGTAAACATTTTAGATTATTTACAATTATTTATAATAATATCTTGTAAATAAAATATTTAATAAATGTTAAATAATTGATACTTTT